TAAGGGCCCTCCCAGCTCTGACATCCTGTGTTCTAAGGGCCCTCCCAGCTCTGACATTCTGTGTTCTAAGGGCCCTCCCAGCTCTGACATTCTGTGTTCTAAGGGCCCTCCCAGCTCTGACATCCTGTATTCTAAGGGCCTTCCCAGCTCTGACATTCTGTGTTCTAAGGGCCCTCCCAGCTCTGACATTCTCTGTTCTTCCAGCTCTGACATCCTGTGTCCTAAGGGCCCTCCCAGCTCTGACATTCTGTGTTCTAAGGGCCCTCCCTGCTCTGACCTTCTGTGTTCTAAGGTTCTCCCTTACCTGCCTAGCTCTGATGGTCTCTGGTTCACATGTTCTGGGTGAACTTTGTGGAAGGAAGGGTCATTTTTAGCAGGGTGGGGGGGCCAGGGCCAAGGGAGGGCTTCTTGGAGGCTGCAGTGTCAGAACTGTGTCTTGAAGGCTGGTAGAAAGGCTTTAATAGACTCAGCAGACTGAGAAGGGTCGGGGGTTGGGGAACTTGATTTGGAGTCAGAAGATCTGGATTTGAGTTTGAATCCAGTCCACTTAACAGCTGCTCCATACTAGGCAAGTCACTTCTCCTCAGTTTCTTCATCTGTAAAATGGAGGTCATAACTCTCCCACTTTCCATCTTATTTCATCATGGGGATGAAATTCTCATCCTCCCTAATCCCCCACCCCTCTCCAGACAGGCACGTTGACAGAGGAAGGCCTAGATGTTTGGGGTGTGCTCCCCCTAAAAGGTGACGATTTCCTGTCCCTGATCTCAGACCCGAGGCAGCTCCACGGAGGTCCCCTGCTCACTGCCTTGGCCTCCTGTCATTCCGTCTCCTTGCTAAATGAGCAGCCCATTGGTGACCCCATCGACCTCAAAATGGTGGAGTCTACTGGCTGGGTAAGATCATTCTGTCCGCCCTCCGCCCTCTGTCTCTGAGCAGGCCCATCTCCAGTCAGACCAATAAAAAGGGATTGGGTTGAGGGGGAGACAGGGACCCTTTTCTTTCTAGAAAGCAAGAGGTTGCTTTTTTTTTTTTTTAATTTGAAAAAGCAACGGGGCAGCTGGGTGGCGCAGTGGATAGAGCACCGGCCCTGGAGTCAGGAGGACCCAAGTTCAAATTTGGCCTCAGACACTTCATCCTTACTAGCTGTGTGACCCTGGGCAAGTCACTTAACCCCATTGCCTAGCAAAAAACAAAAACGAAGAAAGAGAAAAAGAAAAAGAAAAAGCATTTGATTTGAGGTCAGGATGCTTGAATTTGAATCCTGGCTCTCTGTTGCTTCCTAGCTATATGGCCACGGGAAAGTCACTTAACCTCTTGAGCCTCATCTGTAAAATGGGGTTACTGACGGAGGCTGAGCTAAAGTTCTTGTGTACCTTTAAGTTTGGATAACCCTGGTGACGTATACAAGATAGAAGCACCCTGTCAGTGGAGTACAAAAGCAGAAATCTTCAGCTCCAAAAGGATTGTTCTAGTGACTTCAAACACTGCAGAAAAGGGAGCTGTTGCTATGTGTTTGTTTCTTATCCTCATCTCCGTCATCAAACATCCTCCGTTCCCCTGTCTGTCGCTGTCATCAGAGGAATCTCCAAATCCAACCCCAAGCCTTCCTTACTCAGTTTCCATCGGCCAAGGGGCTGGCCGCAGCCCTAGCTCAGTCTCCTGCCCGGCCCCTTGGCTATGCCCATCCAGTGACAGCCTTGTCTGTGCCCTTCTCTCTTTTACCTGTTTTCCAGTGCTTAGAAGAAGAGGGATCAGAGACCTTAGTGTTTGGGACCAAGGTCATGGCTGTGATGAGGCCCCCATGCCTGGAGGAGCAGCTTCAGGGGACAGTAAGCTGGGCAGGGTGGCCGGAGGCTGGCTGGAGGTGGGAGGGGCAAGGGAAGGCTCCAGCGCCATGCTCACCTGCCTTCTCTTGGCCCCTGCAGGAGCCCCTGGAGCCCATCGGCATCCTCTGCCGATTCCCCTTCTCGTCAGGCTTGCAGCGGATGAGCGTGGTGGTATTGCGGCAAAGGGGAGCCCCTCCCGAGGTTTACATGAAGGGGGCCCCTGAGATGGTGGCCAGTCTCTGTACCCCAGACACAGGTGAAATGGACCATCATCTCCACTGCCCTCACCCTGCTGCCTCCTCCTGAGGTCCCTACAGGGTTTGTGGTCCAGAGCACAGGACAAGGGAGAGAGTATATTCCCTCTTGGTGGATTCCCAGGCTCTCTGGTCCTATAGTGAATGGTAGAAAACCAGGCCTTGGGGTTTGCCCAAGTATCCCTAGGGTCCAGGGGCAAAGGCCACTGCTGCTCCCCAAATCCCTGCCTCCAACCTAAAGGCCTCAAACCCTAGTTTCAATCACTCTTAATCCTTAATTCACCACCACCCCCCTTCCCCGCTCAGAAGAGTATCTAACCCCCTCCTGCCCTGCCAGGCTTGTAGTCTATGCCCCTAATGACACCGGTCACCCCTGTTTCTCCAGTGCCTTCAGATTTCTCCCAAGTCCTTCAGCGCTATACATCGGATGGGTTCCGGGTTCTGGCCCTGGCCTTCAAGCCCCTGCACATCACTCCCACTTTGGAGAAGGCTCGGCAACTGTCCAGGTGGGGGACCTCAAGAAACACTGCCTGCACCTGCTTTCTTCAAGCCTTCCATTGATCTGTGATCTCCCAAGGGCGGGCAAGCTCTCCTTCATTGCAGATCTCAGCCCCTTCTTCAGATTTGACGGTCATCCACGTCTAAATCTATCAACTACCCAATAGGCCTTTCCCTGGTGCTTTTGTTCTAGGACTCATTCTATCGATCTGTCTAATGCTGTGGATTAAAATGGATGATCTCTGAGGTCCCCTTGAGGTCCAAGGTAGTGATCTTATTATCTACCTAATCCCATCTCCTCATTTTATAGAGGAGAGAAACTGAGGCCAAGAGAGGAAAATCTCTGAGGTCTCTTGCAGCCCGGGGTCCTGGAATCTGATATTCTGTGGCCTAAGAAAGCAGCTCTTGGGCTATTCATTCATCATCCTTCATTCTCCTTCTCCATCCACGGCCACACTTCACAATTTTTACTCCTCTTTTGGCACACAAATAGCTGGACCTGCCTTGGCCGGCCTATGCCCGCCGTGCCTTTTTCCTGTGCCCAGAGCTCACCTACGGGCTCCGTTCCTCAGAGATCATGGCATGCCATGATGCCCAGCCAGATAGCCCTGCCGGGAGAGCAGAGATTTTCCAAAGATAAGCTTCAGTGACTGGGAGCAAAGAAAGCTGCTGCTGGGTTCCCCACGTGCAGCCCGCCTCCTCCTCCTCTGGCCGCAGCATGGTCTCTGTCACCGGTAGCCGTCCAAGATAGATGTTTGTATTGATGCTTTTCCATTCATTCATTCATGAGGCAGATTTGTGTAGCAGACGGAGTGAAGGTTTGTGTTCACATCTGGCTCTGTCACTGACTAAATAGGTGAACAAATATTCAACCCTTGGCAAGGCCGCTTCACTCCCCAGGCCTCAGTTTCCTTATCCGTCAAAGAAGGAAGCTGGACTAAATATCTTTGGAGGTCCCTTCCAGTTCTAAATCTATGGTCATGTGATCCTATGCCACTTTCTCCTAATGGCATCTAGGTGGTGCTGTAGATAGAACTCTGGGCCAGGAGTCAGGAAGACTTGAGTTCAAATCCTGCCTCAGACTGACTCTGTAACCCTGGGCAGGGCACTTAACCTCTGTTTGCCTCTATTTCCTCAGCTGTAAAAGGGGAATCTTAAAAGCAGCTCCCAGGGTTCCCAGGGTTGTTGCAAGGATCAAATGAGATAATATTTGTAAATTATATTTGCTTGGCACATGGTAGACAGTTTCCTCATCTGTTAAATGAGAAAGTCAGACGAGATGACCTTAGGAGGTCCCAAGGTTCTAGATCTGGGGTCCTTGTGTTCCAGCTCATTCTCCGTCTGCAGCATTTGTCCATGTTTATTAATATAGGTACTGAGAGGCAGTGTGATTTAGTAGAAGGCCTGGAAGCTCTGGGTTCAAATCCTGACTCTGCTAGCTGTTTGACCTTAAACAAGTCGCTTCAATTAACAAATATTTATTAAGCATGTGCTGTGTGTCAAGCACTGTGCTCAGCACAGAACTGGAAGGACCTCACCTTCTCTGGGGGAAGACAGTGGGTGCAGGACAGACACAAAGTGAATGCCAGGTAATTTGGGGAGAGGGGACTCTCCCAGGAGGAGAAGGGGCTAGAAAAGGCCCCAAGAAGAAGGTTGTGCTTGAGCCAAGGCCTCAGTTTCCCCCTCTGTAAACTCTGGGGCTTGGCCTAAAGAATCTGTACCCAACAAGCCCGGGAGGGAGTTAGGATTCTTACCCCTGTTTTCCAGACCCAGGGAGGTAGTATTTCATTGCATTCCTAGTGCTTAGTACATGCCTACCGCACAGTAAGTGATTAATAAATGTGTGTTTACTGATTGACTGACATATACAGCTAGCAGGTGTCAGAACCAGGACTTAAGGCAGGGACTCCTGACTTCAGGTCCCTGGTGTTCCTTCCTCTGTGCTCTGGCCCCCTCTGACCTTTGCCCTTGAGCTGATCGTCCCCTCTTTCCCCCCAGGACAGAAGTGGAGAGCGGGCTGACTCTGCTGGGCCTCCTGGTGATTAAGAATGTGCTGAAACCAGAGACGGCGCCCACCATCTGCACCCTCCGCAGGGCCAACATCCGAACTGTCATGGTCACAGGTGTCTGAAGGCAGGGGCCCAGGGAGGGTTCTGTGGGGCAGAAGCAGGAGAACAGCAGCCCCCGCGGGGTGGGGGGCACGAGGAAGGGCCCCCGCGGGGTGGGGGCCACGAGGAAGGGCCCCGGCGGGGTGGGGGGCACGAGGAAGGGCCCCGGCAGGGTGGGGGCCACGAGGAAGGGCTCCCGTTCAGAGCCTAGGAAGCTGCCCCAAGGATCTCCTTCAGCTCGTCTGCAGCATGGGCAGGCGTTGATCTCAGCTGGTCCCCTCCTGGGAGCCAGCCTGAGGGCAGACAGTGGTCCAGGGACTTCAGCTGCCTCTGGCCAAGCCTGAACTCTTTCCCGCCCCCAGGTGACAACATGCTGACTGCGGTCAATGTATCTCGGGCCTGCGGCATGGTGCGACCCCAGGAGCCGGTGGTGTTGGTCTATGCCTCCGACCCTGCCAACGGCAAACCGGCTTCCATCAAGTTCATCCCCTCTGACCACTGTCCGGGTGGGGAACAAGCTGAGGTAGGCCTTAGGACGGTCCCATCTTCCTTCCCTTCTCTAGGCTGATGTTCTGGAAGCAGGGGGGGACTTCATGACTTCCCAGGGCTCCTTCACCCCACCCCCATCAACCACTGCCTGATGACTGGACCACACGGAGGCCATCTTCCCAGAGGCTGGGGCAGGGGACCTGGGAGAAGGCCAGGAGTGTGGGGTCTCATGGGGCCCATTTCAGCCCAAAGGGTACCTTGTGGAGCCGGCCGGGGAGCACTGCCACCTGGCGCTGAACGGGAAGGCATTTGCTGTGGTTTTGGATCATTTCCCTGAGCTTTTGCCCAAGGTACTGCTTCCCCTCCCCCTCATCCCCCTCATCCCCCTCATCCCCCCTCTAAGTAATGACCTTCCCCTCTCGGAATACCTGCCTGGTTCCTGGGTTCACGTCTCAGCTCCACCTGCTGTGTGACGCTGGGCAAGTGGCTTAACTTCTCTGAATCTGTTTCCTCTTAAAATGAGCTGGTTGGTTCCCAGATGGTCCCTCAGGTCCCTTGCAGCTCTAAATGCTGAGCCCTCTGGCATGGGACTGTTCCTCCTTCCCCTCCCCCTTGGGGTGTCCCCCCTTCCCTGGCAGCTGCCACACCCACTCTCGCCCATCCCCTAGATCCTGCTCCAGGCCACCATCTTTGCCCGGATGACACCAGAACAGAAGACTCAGCTGGTGTGTGGCTTTCGAAACCTCAAGTAAGTGACCTCTCAGAACTCAGTAAATGATACAGAGGATTCTCTTAGGACCCACACCCCTCCATCCTCCTCCCAAAACCTGGGCAGGTTTCTTGCCATCTCAGGGCCTCCATTGCCTTGTCTATAATATGAAGGGAAATGGAATAAACATGTCAGATGATCAGTGACTTTGTTGGGTTCCTTTTACTCCCTGCGCCTCAGTTTCCCCCTTGTAAAATAAGCAGATTGGCTGAGATGGCCCCTTAGAGCCCTTGTAGCTCAAATGCTTTTTGTCTAACGACATTCCTTTCCCATACCGCTTCATCCGTCCCCCCATGTCCTGTGTCCAGGGTTTACTCTGCTTCTGGAAATCCATAACCCTAAGGCAGATCCCTTTACCGCTCTGGGCCTCTGCTCTCTTCTTTGTAAAATGTGACAGAAAGAACTATGGTCTGGGCAGAGTCCTGGTTCTGACGCTGTGACTGTGTGCCCCTGGGCAAGTCATTGCATTTTTTTGGACCTTTGTAAGTATATCTGTAAATGAGGCATTCTAGGATATATCTAGGGGTCTTGGAGACCATCTGGTCCAGCCCACTCATTTTACAGATGAAATTTTGCCCCCACCCCCAAGTTAAGTGACTTGCCCTAGGTGGATGGCCTTAGATGATCTAGGAGTCACAAAGATTCAGCAGTAGAAGGGACCCCAGAGGCATTGAGTTTGACGTCTTCCTGAATGGGAATTATTTCTCCAACGAGAGGTCAATCTGACCTCTGTTTAAATAGGGAACTCAATACCTTCTCGAAGTCTCCCATTCTATTTTGAGACAGCTCCCTTTGTTGAAATGATGTTCTCTTTAAAAATAATAATAAATTTTTTAATTAAATTTTTAATTTTAATTTTTAAACTTTCTAATTCACAAGCCTATCCCCCTCCCCTCCCCTCCCCCACTGAAAAAAGAAAGAAAAATAAAACAAAACTCTTGTAGTGATTCTTCATAGTGAAGCAGAATTAATTCCCATATTGGCTATGTCCAAAAATGTTTCCCTGGAGTCTGTCACCTCCCTCTCGGGAGGCAGGGGGCAAAACAAGTCTGATCTCTTCCTCATGTGGCCCTTCCAATTCTCCTGGTTTCTGTTCTATGGCCAGATATCCTCTAAGGGCCCTCCCAACTCTCAGGTTCTTATCTGAGGTCTCACCTAGCCCTGGCAGTTCTGTTTCTGTGAGCCCCACTAGGGGGTTGGGGGTGTGGAGAATTCGACGAGAGTTTCCCATGCTCAGGGCCGGGGTTGGGGCGGGGGGACCCATGACCTCCTTCCTCCCAGCTTTGGCCTGGCCCTCTCAGGGAAGCCTAGTGACTCCGCACCTTTCCAACCTCACCCTTCCTCCCAGCCTTCCCTTGGGATCGATCCCCTCCCCCCCACCTAGGTGGGCACACCCCCTGGAGTGGGGCAAGACTTGTTGATAGTCCCCACCTGCACCTTGGCAGCTACTGTGTGGGCATGTGTGGAGATGGGGCCAATGACTGTGGGGCCCTGAAGGCAGCTGATGTGGGCATCTCCCTGTCAGAGGCAGAGGCTTCGGTGGCATCACCTTTCACCTCCCAAATCACCAACATTGAGTGTGTGCCTAAGGTGATCAGGTGAGTGGCACCGTGGGAGAGAGACCTTTGGAAGCAGCGGGGTAGTAGGGGAGGGAGGGGAGAGGGGCAGGAAGCAAGGGATTATTTGAGAGACGAGGACAGGTGAGCCTCAGTTAGTATAAGCATTATTGCTAATCCACATCCTCTAAGGAGATCCGCCTCAAGGGGCTGAGAAGCCAGTGCTGAGCACTACTCTCTCTCATGCTGTTTTTACTTTCAGAAACTCTTGCTTCTCCCAAAGTTAGGAAGAGGGTCACCAGTCGTTTAATCAACAAGCTTTCACTAAGCACTTTCTATGTGCCAGGCATCATGCTAAGCACTGGGGATACAAAGAAAGACAAAAATATGGTCCCTGCCCTCAAGGAGCTTACGCTCCAATGAGAGAGACAACATGTAAATAACTATGTACATACAAGATATGTACATTTAATCTGGGAGATGCCATTAGTGTTGGGGCTACTCTGAGGCCCCAATAATTCTCCGATCCCTCAAGCCCAATAAGGTGTGCTCTTTTATCCCCAGTCTTAAGTAAACATAAAGCCCCCCAAAAAAGTTGAAAAGAAGTAAGCATGGTGAAATGGAAGAGAACTGAATTTTTGGTCAGGGACCACATAGGAGAAGATAAAAAGGTCTAGCAAGGCTTAGTAGATAGAACTGGGAAGATCTGAGTTCAGATGCCATAGCTGACACTCAGTGGTAGCTGTGTGACTATGGACGACTCATTTAAATCTAAGTTAAGACTTTATTAAGTAACTTAATAATCTCATAAATCAGAAGTAATTCTCCAAGATTCTCTGGTGATTGATCAGTGGCAGTTTGCATCCAGAGGGAGTTCTCACACTGGGAGTTCCCACAGCAATGAAATGGCAAGTCCTTGATTTATTGACAGTATTACTGCTATCTCATCTTTTCTTGATGGGGTTCCGATAGAAACGGTTCGAGGACAAGTCACCCTCCTGCTATCTATTCTTTTATATGTAATATTCTAAGTCCAACCTCCTTAAGGGTAAGCCTTCTAGGATTGCTGGTGGCAGTGACTTGGTTCTGAATTGCCATCATAAACCTCATCCCCAACCTCTAAGGACAATTCATGGAAGTTTGTGGAATTTCTTGCCTGGGCAGTTTACCCGGTGTTTCTTTGGGGGTATTCTGTTAGCTTAGTTCAGGCAGGTGTTGCCCACGGAGGGCCTTTTGATACCGTTCTTGGCTCTAAACTCCATCCAGAGGTACACCACTTCCAGTTACACTGAAAAAATCCGGTGTCCGATTTTTATCATTATCACGTCATCATTGTCATCATCATATGTGTATTATTATTCTCTAATAATATAATTATATCATTATCATTCTGGGTTGTCACAGTTATCTCTTTCTACTCATGTGTCTGGGTGAGGTCCAAGCACAAGTCGCTAGCCTGCTGTTACCCTCTTATGGCTGAGGTCTTTCAGACTATGGTGTAGGTGGATACAATCAATGCTTTTTATCCTGGAATAAGTGCATTGGGATGTATCGCTATTATTATTTGTAGTAATGACAAAGGCCTAACAGCAGCCCGGCTGGGCCCCAGCAGAGGGAGCGGGTCTGCCCCTGTAGGCAGACCCCCAGATGCCATTTTATACTGAGAGCCAGGGTAGGCTTCCAGTTGCCCGTCATTTGCCCCTCGTGGGGTCCTCACCCTCCTTCCAGAGCCCTGATGTCCTCCTATGCTTGTACTTCTCCCCCTATGTCACAGGGAAGGACGATGCTCACTGGTCACCTCCTTCTGCATTTTCCAGTACATGGCCCTCTACAGCTTTATCCAGTTCATCTCTGTCCTACTGCTCTACACTGTGAGTATGAAGCTGGGGCAGAGCTGAGGGGCGAGGGGAGCGGGGCCCTCCCTTCGGTTCTCCATTGACTAATTCCCCTTGACCCCTCTTATACTGAGACACCTCCTCCAGGAAACTTCCCCAAACTTCCAGCTTTAATGGCTCCATTCTTTCCAGAATTTTGAGTGTCTACTTTCCCTAGGGGTTTAGCTGTTTTATGCTGTTTTTGTGGGCTTACTACCCCTTTGTAGACAGGAGGCTCCCTGAGGGCAGGCTTTGTGTCTCTCCCCCCCCCCACCCAATCAGAAACTTCTTCATCCATTCACTCTAATTTTGTTCAACAAAGATTCATTAATTCCCTCCTGTGTGCTAGGCACTGTTCTAGGTGCACTGAGCGTTCAAAGACAAAAATGAAAACAGTTCCTGGCCTCAAGGAGTTTATATTCTGGTGGAGTGAAACAGATACAAAATATAGATGAAGTAGATACATGGTGATTTTGGCAGGGATGTGATTAGGGGAATCAGAAAAGGCCTCAAGTGGGAGCTGACCTCAGTTGAGCCTTAAATGAAGCTAGGGATTCTAGGAGGCAGAGGTAAAGAAGTAATGCATTCCAAGCATGAAAGATACAAAGGCATGGAGGTATATAAAACAGCAAGTAGACCGGTTTGACTAGAATGTGGATTACATTAGGGGGAATAATATGAAACTGGTCTAGAAAGGTAGTCTGGAGCCAGATTGTGAAGGACTTTAAATGTCCCCCCCAAAAAAGGAGATTGTATTTTATTCTAGAGGCATCTGAGAGCTAATGAAGCTTCTTGTGTAGTGAGGTAACCGTATTGGTGATTGGATCTCCTAGCTGAGGAAGACAAGGGGAGGGAATGAACAGTCACTAACAGCACTGTCCAAGGTTAGGTTTCTGGGCTCAGTATCAATTAATCGATCAACAAGCATTTATTAAGCCTCTGCTGTATATGATGTTATGACAAATGAAAGCCCTGTGCTCATGCTTAGGATACAAAAACAAAATAGCCTCAGAGGACTTCCATTCCACGTAGAATCCTCATTTCCCAGGGTGTGGTCTACATAGAATGTACGTTGAGAGTGGAGACTACTCCATTTTTGTGTATAGAGATACACTCCTATCCCTTTTGTATGGCACCATGCCTGGCACATAGTAGGAGCTTAATAAATTCTCATTGATTGATTGAGTGATGCCATTAACCTCCCACTTGCCTCTTCCCCAGATCAATACTAACCTAGGTGACCTACAGTTTCTGTTCATTGACTTGGCCATCATCACCTCGGTGGCAGTGCTAATGAGTTTCACCGGGCCTGCCCCAGAGTTGGGGGTCTCCCGGCCCCCAGGGGCCCTGCTTCGTGTGGCCGTCATGGGCAGCCTCCTCCTGCAGACTGCTCTGGTTGTGGGCATCCAGCTTAGTGGCTACTTCATCACCGTTTCCCAGCCCTGGTGAGGCTCCCTTTCCATCTTCAGGTTCCCGGGGGTGGGTACCCCTTTGGGGAATACAGATGGATCCCTGAGGGGGGAATATGGAAGCTCCTGAATATGGAAGGACACTGACAAGTTGTGGGGCGTGCAGAAGAAAGTTACTAGAATGGCAAAGGACACAGGATCCAATTTTGTTTCTGACTTTAGTGCCCCGTGAGGATCAGTCAAAGGAACAGGTGGCATCTGGCCTGGAGAAGGGGAAGCTTGGGGGCAAGAGGGCATGGAAGTGGGCCATGACAGCTATATTCAGGAATTTGGAAGAGGGATTAGACTTTTTCTGTCTGGCCCCAGAGGGCAGAATTAGGAACAATGGGCTGAAACTGCACAAAGCTGATTTAGACCTGCTGTCAGGGAAAACTTCCCCATCATTATCTCTGTCCCACAGGGGCCGCTCTGGGAGGTGGGTGGCTCTGCCCTTTCTTGGAGGTCTTCACAGAGTCTGGTGCACTCCTAACCTTTAAGCATCTCCCCCTCCTTACTCGCCTCCCTTCCTCCTTGCCCCTACAGGTTTGTCCCTTTAAACAGGACGATGTCAGGGTCCCAGAACCTGCCCAACTATGAGAATACAGTCATCTTCTGCCTCTCAGGTTTCCAGTATCTCACGATGGCCGTAACCATGTCGAAGGGGCCGCCTTTCCGCCGCCCACTCTACAGCAACGGTGAGGCCTGGGCAAGGCGATGGGAGAAGGGCGGCATCTTGGGCCATCGCCTATCTGCAGGGAGGAGCTGGAGCCCTTTCCCATTCTCATCACGCTCCCTACCTTCCCCCACCCCCACTCTAGTCATCCCCAAGGTCCTCAGACTCAGTCAACAAACATTTACTAAGCGCCTACTGTGTGCTTGGCACTGTGCTAAGCACTGGGGCTACAAAGAAAGGCCAAAGACAGGCCGTGCCCTCAAGGATCTTCCAGTCCAACGGGGAAGATGACATGCACATAACCAGGTCCGGATAAGTGGGTAACAGATCATATTCTCATCTCTCTTCCCCAGTGTTTTTCCTCTTGGCCTTGTTTATCCTGGCCACCATCATGATCATGCTCACCCTGGGCCCGCCAGCCTTCCTGCTGAAGTGGCTGACCCTGAAGGAGATCAAGGACACCCGGTTCAAGCTGCTACTGCTTGGCTTAGCTGCCCTCAACTTCGTGGCGGCTTTCATGCTGGAGGTGCCTGGGGACCTGTAGAGCATACTCAGTGTGTGTCGGGGGAGGTGTGGGGGACTAGTATCTGGGGGTGGCCACCGCCCTCTCTAGGACACTCAGAGTCCTGCAAGACACCTTAGAGACCATCCTACAAGAAGATGATACTGAGGTTCAGAGTGGGCTCATAACCACTAAGTAGTAGAGCTGGAACTCAAACCCTTCTCTCCTGAGAGAAGGTCTCCTGAGAGCAAACTCAGAGAGGGGACAAAGAGTAGAGGGAATTGAAGAGGGTAGGAAAGGCAGGACCAAGGTTGATGGGGAAGGTGGCTTTGGTGGTAGGACTCAGAAGTCCCCTGCTTCTCTTTCTGCAGTGTATCTTTGACCAGTGGATCCCCAGATGCCTCCGCCGCCTGTGCCCAAAGAAGGCATCCAAAAAATTCTTCAAGCGGCTTGAACGGGAGCTGGCCCAGCAGCGAACTCCCTGGCCCCCACTCCACCAGCCCATCCTGGCCACCCACAAGACAGCCTCTGTCCTGAGGTAGCCCTGGATCCTGGGGACATTCCTGGGGTGGAGGTCTGAGCCCCTCCCCCCCACGTCATCTATTTATGCATCTTGGTAGCAACACTGTACATGGCCTGGGACTGCCAACACACTCCTCGAGCACCTCAGCCCAGAGAACGCCGCCTTCCCAATTCCATGCCTTTCATCCTTGGCTGAGATTTGGGGGGTGGGGCATCTCGACTCCTCAGAAGCCACCCCCAAAGGCATTCAATTCCTTCCTCCTCCCCAGTCGTGAGGGGCTTCACTCCATGCCCCTTCCCAGACCAGTTTAGTTCCTTTATCTCACCTTGGAAATAGTCTAATTTTTTATCCGTGGACATGGGTACATGGAGGGGTCAGATGCAGCTGACACTCACTGCCCCTGTTGAGAGACTGAATAAATTTGCCTTATTTTCCTGGATGTGCTGATCTTATGTGAGACCCTGGCCCTGACCACTAGCCCCTTGCTCAGGATGCCTCTGCCTCCACGTCCACCTTTCCTTTGTCCTGAGCCTCAGCAGAGCAGCAAGGGCGACCCCAAGACGTGCTCCACCGAAGAGAACCTTAGACTGAGAGTGAGGACACCTGGGTTCTAGGTTCGGTTCTGCTACTGCTCAACTCCGCAACCTCGGGCAACTCACTTCCCCTCCACGAGCCTCAGTTTCCTCTTCTGTAAACTATCGGACAATAATACTTGCAGCATGACCTACCTCACAGGGTTGTTGTGAGGAAAGTGCCTTGTGAACTTCAAAGGTCTATAGAAATGGCAGTTGATGTCATGCGGGGCCAGTCAGTATTGAACCTACATCTGGCTGCTCTGTGTCCTTCCAGCACCTTTCTGTACCATGGTGGCCAGCAGGATTGAGAACAAGAACTGGTGTGAACAGGGGCTGGTGTGAATAGACTGGCTACAACAAAGGAGAGGCAGAGATGATCCAGCACTGGGAGGGCAAGAGCTAACCCACTGAATGATGGAGGCAGGATCAGAAAAATAACTTAAGAGTAGAGCATAGGACCAAATAGAATAAGATGGAACTGAAGAACAATAAATGTCAAGTCTTACACATGGGTTCAAAAGTGTCACAAGTACCGAGTAGGTGAGATGTAATTAAGCAGTAGTTTATCTGAAAAAAAAAATGTCTGAAGTTTTTCATGGCCTACAAGGCCTGTATAAATAAGTAGTGTGAGATGGTCAGCAAAAAAACTAAGGAGACCCTAGGCTATTTAAAGAGAAGGATCAGGAAGGCCATAACCCTATTGTGCTCTTTCCCTGCCAGGCCCCCTTGCAGGGTATTATGTTTAGCTCTGATCCCTACACTTTAGGAGGAATATTGACTGTCTCTAATTTGTCCACTGGGCTTGGAATCAGCAAGACTTATCTTCATGAGTTCAAATCCAGCCTCAGACACTTACTAGCTGTGTGACCCTGGGCAAGTCACTTCACACTGTTTGCCTCAGTTTCCTCATCTGTAAAATGAGCTGGAGAAGAAAATGGCAAACCACTCCAATGTCTGCCAAGAAAATCTCAAATGGGGTCACAGAGAGTCATACACAACTGAGAAACAACACAAGAAGAAAGCTTGTCCAGACCAGGTTGTGGAATCCCATATTATGAAGAAACATTCAAGGATTCTGACCCTTACTGCTATTCTTAAATAGCTTTGGGTGACTTTGGGGGAATACAGTTGGGCAGTCAGGCTAGCCCTACTGCCAGCCAGAAATTCTGTGATCTCATGAATTGAGAATGTTTAGTCTGAAAAAGAAAGATGGGAAGGGGAGGAACATGTTAGCCTTCTTCAAGTCTTCAAAGGTCGCTTGGATAGATGATCCTTTCTGAATGATGGGTGGGGGAAAGTGACAGTGGAGGTGACCTCCTCCAACTCAGGCCTCCCAGACCCCAGCCAGGGACCAGCTGTGGGCCCTTTTCCCCCAGCCTTCCTGCCAGTGACCTTTCCCTCTCTCCCATTTGTGGCTGGACACTGAAATTCATCTCAAGTCTACTTTCTGCTTCCCAGTGATGGTAGGCTTGGCCCCTTCTGGCTTCCTAGCCTGAACAGCAAATGTGGCTATTCATAGCACTTGGATAACCCCGAAGTTATCTTTTTTGGTGAGATGGAGGACCACCACATCTTCCTGTTTGATCTAGCATACAACCTATGGCCCTCTAGGCCTTGGTTTGGCTACACACACACACACACACACACACACACACGCACGCACGCACGCACGCACGCACGCACGCACACACACACACACACACACACACACACACACACACACACACACACCCAGGCACTGTCATCCCGCCTGCAGATGCGCCCTGTGGACCTCTGGGTCTTGCCTTCCTCACTGTAGCCGGGTCCTTAGGACTTCTGGGACCTTCATCTTCCTTGCAGCTAAACTCTTCTCGGTATGTTGTCTTCCTTAATTAGAATGTGAGCTCCCTGAGAGCAGGGACTGTCTCCTTTTTTCTAATTGTACTCCCAGTGCTTGACACAGTAAGTGCTTAATAAATTCTCTCATTCATTCAAGAGGGATCACTTAGCCTATTGCCTAGCATACAGCAGGTACTGAATAAATGCTTGTTGACTGATTGCCCAGCCCTGAGGACAGAACTAGCAGAAATCAGGTTCAGATTTAACGTTTTAAACACCTGCACACACCCCTTATCAACCTTTAGAGCTGTCCGAAAGAGATCCTTCAGGAATCATCATGGAGTCACAAGATCTGAGAGTTGGAAGGGGTCTCTGAGGCCATGTAGCCCAACCTTTATGAGAGTTCTCCATATGTTACAGTGAGTTCCTCATTAGTGGAGGAGTCTGAGCAGAGGCTGGGTGACCACCTGGGAGCAGTTCTGCTTAGATGCCCCCTACCATCTCCTCTCTCTCAGTGACAACACTGGAAGGGACTGAGTCATGGGAGTTGGGGTTACAAAGGCAGATGAAGAGCGATGGGGAGGGGGCAGTTTACCAAGAAGCCAATTTAGTCTTGGGGTCAGGATAAACTTCCTAACAATGAGTGGAAGTTGTCTGGTAAGATAAAAAAAGTTGTTGACGGGGTCCTTTTGGATATGAATCGGACTAGATGGTCCCTGAGGGTCCTTCTTTTTTTTATTTGATTTAATTTTTCCAATTACTTGTAAAGATAATTTTCAACATTCATTTTTTGAAAGATTTTTGAGTTACATGTTTTTCTCCCTCCCTCCCTCCTCCTCATGTAGGTTATACATGTGTAATCATGTAAAACATTTCCATATTAGTCATGTTGTGAAAGAAGCAGCAGAGCAAAAGGGGAAAAAAACATGAAAAAAAGTGCAAAACAGTATGCTTCCATCTGCATTCAGACTCCACATTTCTTTCTCTGGGTGTGGATGGCATTTTCCATCATGAGTCTTTTGGAATTGTCTTGGATCATCGCATTGCTGAGAAGAGCTAAGTCTATCAAAACTTTGATGTTGCACAATGTTGCTGTTACTGTGTACAATGTTCTCCTGGTTCTGCTCACTTCACTCCACACCAAGTCATGTAAGTCCAGGTTTTTTCAGAAATCTGCCTGCTCATCATTTCTTACAGCACAATGATGTACCATTGCATTCATATGCCACATCTTGTTCAGCCATTCCCCAATTGATGGGCATTCCCTCAATTTCCAATTCTTTGCTATGATGTCCCTTCTAACTCTCAAATTGGGTGATTCTAGGTTCAATTTAATCCCCAGGGATTAGGAAATGGAAAAAACAAACAAACAAAAACAGAAACAAAAAACTGGTTTTCCCAGTCCCACGGGCCATCTCATCAGTAGCCACCAGATGGCCCCATCACCTCTGACCAAGTAGAGTGAAGGCCCAGCTTCTCATGCAGTTTGCCTGGAAACCCAGATCAAGGTTGATAGAACAGCAGGAGGATAAAATCCAAGCACTTTCTGATTCCCCCACCCCTAGCCCCTTGGTAGCCCCTGAGGATCTGGGCCTGGGCTCAGCCTCAGGCTCGTCTTGGGTCCCATCATAAGCTAGCTCCCTTTTCTTTCCATCCTCAGAAGAGCCCACGGCTATTCCTTCTTGTCACTTTCCTTGGCTCTGAGACTGATCGGAAGGGAAAAGGAAGGCAGTGGTCAGGACATCTGGATAATGGGTCTGTGGTGGCTCTGGCCTAAGGTGGCCTTCTCCAGGCACTGGCTTGCCAGATGAGGTGTAAGCATACTGCTCCCCCTGACCAACTGGGAACTCTTCAGAGCCGGGCAAAGGGCGTGGGGATTCCCTGGAAAGGAGACTTGAGTTTAAGGAATGCCTGGTGTGGATAGAACGCTGGACCTAAGGTCAGGAAGACCTGAGTTCAAATCCAGCTTCTGACACTTACAAGCTGTGTGCCATTGGTCAAGTTCCTTTCCTTTCAGGGCTTCGGCTTCTTTTTCTGCTAAGGTCCTTCCAAGCTCTAAATCCAGTGATGTATTCACAAGCCCCTGGGGATGGAGCTGATCTAAGAAGGCATTATCTGAGAAGCCAATCAGGGTTTACTACTCTTTGGAGAGGGTGTAATAATTCCCCACTGGGCAGTGGGGCCTGAGTCCCTAGAGGAGGGTTCACAGGGGGAGAAGATACAACCATGGTCTAAGCTCCGGAAAATTGTGAAGGAGCCACAACGTAGGTGGGAGCAAGCTGTGAAATGTGCCATCAGTTTAGTCCTGGGGTACTTAACCCGGGGTGCTTGGACCCTTTGGGGGGGGTCTGTAGATAGATTTCTGGGGGTCTGTGAATTTGGATGGGAAAATTTTCATCTTTATTTTCATTAAGCGGTAAATCTAAACTGAAATTTAGGGATTCTTTTCAATGATTTAAAAGCCTCCCTCAGCAAGGACCCTTGGTGGAAAAGGCTATCCACATCCAGAGAAAGACCTGACGGAGTCTGAATGCGGATAGAAGCATACTGTTTTCACTTTATTTTTTTTCGTGGTTTTTAAAATGTTGTTTCTGCCTTCACAATGTGACGAATATGGAAATATGTTTTACATGATTGCGCATATATAACCTATATCAAATTGTTTACCGTATTAAGGAGGGAGATGGTGAGGGATGGAGGGAGAAAATTTGGAACTCAAAAAAAATTTTTAAATGAATGTTAAAAATTGTCTTTACATGTACTTGGAAAAAATAAAATACTATTTTTAAAAAACCCTAAAAACGATAAAATAATGAAAAATCCTCCCTCATCCTGAGTTTTTTTTACCTGTAAAATGGGGTTAGCACCCATACCTCCCAGAATTGTTGTAAGGATAAAATGACATAATATTTGTAAAGCACTTTGTGAACCTTAAATTGCTAGATACATTCTAGCTATGATTATTTTATGATTATTATTTTAAGTGTTAAATATCATTATGACACAAAAAAGGTCAAGAACCCCTGATCGAGCCTAACCCTCCCCTTTTATAGAGGAAGAAACTGAAACCTAGTGGGGAAAAGTGACTTGTTCAAGGTCACACGTTTAGTAAATGGCAGAGCCAGCACCCGAATCCAGGTCTCCTGCCTCCACATCTCTGCTTTCTTCACCATACCTCGGATGCTCAGAGGTCCTCGAACATCTCTGTGCATCGGGTACTTTCCCGCCAGGGACGTCAGGTCCTCCCAGCCCTACCTACCTCTAGCATCTCCGTCCCTGAGTCCCTGAGGACGTTCCAGGACTACCCCAGCCTGGCCCCAGAACCGGACTCCAGCCCGTCCAGGCCCCGCCCCCGCTCCACATCTGGCCAGAGCCCGCCTGGCTCTAGCATTAGGACCCAGCAGAGGGTGAGGCTGGAGGTGGCGGCTTGTCCCGTTCCAGGGTTGGGGAGAAGGGGGAGGCTCTTGGCAGGCAGCTGAGTGGGCAGAGGAGAGAGACCCAGACAGGTAGGAGAGGAGCCGGCCGGCTGGGGCTGGGCTGGATGGGGGGCTGCCTGCAGGGAGGACGGGAGAGACCTCCCCCCTCCCTAACCTAGCTGGAGGGGACAGTGAAGGAGAAGAGAGATGGGAAGCTGGGGGAGGGGCCAGGAAGGACCCCAGACCCTGGCCTTCCGTCTGGAGCTCTGAGGTCCCCCACCCCCAGACTTGGGAAGGTTTGGGAAGAGGATCGCTGGTCCCAAATAGGGGAGGGGGTCCGGAAGGCAAAGCAGTGGCTGGAGGGTGACCTTCCCTGCCAAGTCTAAATGAGATCTCAAAGCACACTTTATTTTTTCTTTTTGGGAGGTGGGAGTAAGAAGTAACGGAAGCGGAGGGGGGAGTCTCAGGACTGCTGCTGGAAGATGGGGCGGGGAGCGCTTCACTAGGTGTTGGGAACCAGGCTGGAGCGGAGGTCCCTGGTGGTGAGGGGCGGTGGAGGGGGTGATTGGAGGCCAGGGTTAGGGTCTGGGTGCTTTACATTGTGGCTTTGCCGGGATCTCTGTGCAGGTCTGCGT